GAAACTAAAAACCACTATAAAATATGCACTATCACTGAACATGTGGCATTTCAAGCAGAGCTTCCTATACACAAATGAAAATTGGATACTGCTTGTTTTTAAAAAGAGCTGGTAACACAAATTGCTGATAGAGGATATTTAATGTCTATCCACAATAAAATATGCACTATCACTGAACATGTGGCATTTCAAATAGGGATTCCCATTCATGTCCATTTACTTCTATGATGTTATGGATAGTAACAATATATGGGTATCTGAAAATCAGAGAAGTAATAGATCCTTATTCGTTGCAAGAACATAAAAGTGTTCTTTTGTAAAAAGTGGTGCAAAAATATAGAAGTGGAGCAGTTGACTGTTGGAATGTGTCTGCTGGTTCCATGAGGACTTGACCACATTTTGATAATATTTTTAAATTGCTCCATAAATGTAATTTGTACCTGTCTTCCCATACATCCCACACATTAAGCAATACATTTAAATTTGACCAAATAAATTACTTTCACATACATATATATATATATACACAAGCAACTAATTTATATTTCGTTTTCCTTGTTATCTAAAAGTTTTTCGTTATTTTTCTTAAGACATTATTTAGAGTGGACTAGGAGCTAAACCTAGTGGTCACTTTCTATGAGAGTGACCCCTTTAGGTTTTATTTCCATAGATTTTTTATTTTCTTGGGTTACCCCCTATTTTCCCAGTCTAGCTGACCTTTTTGGCTTGGGGACGGGATGTGGGAGCTTTTTTTAAGCCCCTATCCTAGACCTTTACCCTTTTCATTTTTCTAAATCAACATTTATTGGCTGTCCTCTAGCCATCAATCATCTTTTTTGATATTTTGATTTTTTTTTTTATGTTTGCTGGTTAAACGTTCACATAAGTTACAAAATTCCAAGATACAAAATTCAGTCAGACCATTAACAAGCCCAATTTCAGATGAAATGTGATTTTGCTGTGCACATGTCTAATTATAAAAGTGTTTTCTGCAAAAAAAAAAAAAAGTCCTTTATATGTTGAATTTATTAAGTGTGTAATAGTACTGTTAATGTGTGTCTATCTCTCGAATTTCCATTGTAATCACTGAAAGGAATACTCCAAGCACCATAACTACCATAGTGTGCTGTACTGGTTATGGTTTCAGGTGCTCTGTTGCCATTGTAGCTAGTCAAACAGCTTGCGAATTGTGGAACAACTTACCTGGGGTGTACCAGAAGCCATTCACATCTTCCAGAAGAGAAAGGGAGGCTCCTTGTCTGAAAGTCCATGAACAAAGCCTTCTCAGCGAGCTATCCTGAAGGAGCTGACTGGCACCTGGCAGAACCCAGGTAAGTAGTCAAACTGTTGAAAAATGGTTTGTAATAGATTGTAAAGTGCCCCATTATTAGTGGCTCAGCAGCCCATTTTACCATTTCCCTACACATCTTTCTTCTTATTTTTTTTCTCCTTCTAGTTTATCTAGATATTGGTTTCATATGGAGCAATCTAATCTCCCCATATTGTTCTTTTTCTCTTGTTCTTATACCTCACCTCCTCTAGATTGTAAGCTCTTTTCAGCAGGATGTTCCTGTCAGCATTTTTAACAGTTTTTCTATTATATGCTGTAATATCTACTTAATACAATTAAAGTGTATAAAGTGAAATATGTTGCCACCCTAGAAATGTAAATTCTCATAATAATAATTAAAAGTATATATTTCAAAAGTAATAACCACCATCCCAGAATAAATCCACTGTATCTTAACGCTCATCAATCAAGTATTTCAAGACGATTAACCCATATCTAACTTTATAAGTATGCATATGAATTTAACAATTACTTTACTTTCCCTGTGGCCATTGTACACAATATCTTTGAATTATGAAGAAGTAGGTGATATGCTATTATTAAGAAGCTATCACACCGTGGACAAAGCTGCTCATACTGTGTTGAACTAGTAATTGGAAACATATGATATATTTCAATGTCAATTTAGAAATAGATTGTGAACATGCATATTGAGAAATCATAATTTCACAATGCAGATTGTTGTTGGTTGGATGTGCTGTCCTATAGCTGCAGGCTTTTTTTTTTAAATCAAATTGATTGAGCTTCCAGCAGATAATAATAACAATAATAATAGGGAAATTATAGCAAAAAAGCAGAAGAAATGTGTGTTGTTTAAAAAAAATAAAAAATAATAAATAAATAACATTGCAACTTAAGGGAATATAAAATGACCTAAACTGGTATATTTAAAAGAAAATAAAGCTAAGTTATATTTGGTGTTGTAATTACAAAATATGTTACAGCTTATTTTTAGATCTGTTTTATTGTTTTTGGATTGAATTGATTCAATTTACTAATTTGTGTTTGGCCAATCCACTGCATTCAAAAGTATTGTTTTCCAGGATTGCCGAATTTCATGCATGTGGTAATTCAGAATTTCATCTGCCAAAAAGACTGAAGATGAAAGATGAAAGATGATGAAAATGAATCAGATGATCAAAAAGAGCCAATAAGTGTACTGCAAAGTATATGTATATCATAAATATTATATATGTATATTAGAGAATAGAATAAAAAAGAAGGGAATCATTAACCCCTTAAGGATAGTGGGCATGCTATGCCGTCCTTGGGGACCAGGCTCTAAATGCTGGCGGGCAGCATAGCACGTCCCCAGCGTCCTATAACTTACCCGCTCGCCGGTGATCCCCCGCCAGAGTCCCCATGTTGCTGTTCTGGCCCTCCTGGGCCATGTGATCGCGAGCTCCTTGCGAGGACCTCACAATCACATGGTGGAATGACAGGTACTCCCCCTGCTGCCTGCAAAATGTAAAATAAAACACTTAAAAACAGTTTAAAATAAAATATATACTTAGATCATATATATAATATGAGCTAAGTATATATATATATATATATATATACATACACATACACATAAACTGTCTAAGTGTATTTTAATATTAATATATATATATTATCAAAGTACACGTAGAATGATATTGATTAAATATATATAATATAAAATAAATACATATGTAAATACGTAAAAAACAAATATATATATATATATATATATATATATATATAAAATCTGCAAAAGATAGCACTCCAAGGACTTATCTAAAATCTAACTTTTATTTACCTTCAATAAAAATCACAAAGTCAACGTTACAGCCTGATCCTCTCAAGCTTTCATCAGGACATTTTGTGCATGCAAACAACCCCACATTTAAAGCATAAAAATCATATTTACTCACCCCACCTGTGATACATCTGACTCCATGGACGCCCAGACTGGGACTGCTGCGGGCTACCTGACGAACGTCTGCAGCCACGTGGCGTCACGCTCAATGACGCGGCCAGGGGTCATCACCATGGATACCTATATACAAACAATAAAATGTAAATAATACCCAACGTGTAAAGTAAAAGCAGTATTACAAACTGCATCATGGCAGGTGGATATAGCATATAAGCATACTTGCTTCAGAGCGTATCGGCAGAAATAACAATCTACTGTCATTACAACAGATTATTGATCGGGAGGCTAAAAAATATCCACACTTTTACCTCCCAACAGTGTACTCCACCTTATGTCAAAAATAAAGAGCTGTGAAGTCCATATACTGGCGCCAGAATACATAAGAGAAAATTCCCAAGTCCTATCACTGTAATCCAACCACCGAAAACCATCCATATGGTATAGCTTTGTGGGGATAATTATTGCAGTGATCTGACTTGCAATATGAGTATTTAAACATAGACTTTGCACGAATAGACAAAGAAAATAATAAGCAATTATCAGTAACATATATACCCTCTACCATTCAATACTAAATGTAAATCATAATCATTTTTCGGCATATTATAAAAACCGTTAAGGTCCTCCTAACATTATCCTGATATCATAAATCAGGACCTATGGAAGGCTAGACCTTGAAGAATAGGTACTAAGGTGGAAAGATACACATTACCAAGCACTTATAATTAATTACATCTCAGTACCTGGATGTCTGCATGCATACAGCGTTGAACTCCTGTAATGTGTTCCATAAGCATAAAGAAAAAAACAATGCTCCTCAGTGCCACCACTAGAGGGCATCATGGACAAATGATAACAGGACAGGCTTAAGCATATTGGCCTCAAGGGGGCACTGATCACAATTTAAATAAGTATCCTTAAGAATATCATGAGATTGAAAATAAATACATAAAATAAAATAAATTATGAATAACCAAGGGATGCAACTGCCATAAACAAATAATGACAGAAAAGCAATTGTCACTGTGAGTAGACAAGTGGGTTGCCTATCCCCCAGGGTGGGCACCCAATACCAGCACCACATAAGTGACTATATATGAGACATAAATAACGTATGATTGTAACATAATTAATAGTGTTGGAGATATATCGAAATGCATGCCTGTCCCCCATGGTGGACATCACATTCCACCTCACACAAACACTGATGTATAGGCGACTTATAGAAATACAGAAAGAGTGTATTTCTCATTGAGACCATCAGGATGTACTGTTCTCAAAGTTCTAATCCAATGTAGTTCTCGTTGTAGTAGCATCTTCTTGCGGTCCCCTCCCCTTCATGGTAATGGTATGTGGTCGATGGCCATAAGTTTTAGAGTTGATAACGTGTGGCCTTATTCCAAAAAGTGTTTGACCACTGGGAGGTCTGATTTTTGGTCTCTATACGCCACTCTTATACTGGATCTGTGATTATGGATATGTTCACGCAAAGGTAAATCCGTCTTGCCAGTGTATGTTAGCCCACAAGAACAGGTTAATTTATACACTACATAATCAGTAGTGCAAGTTAGTCGATGCCTAACAGTGTATTTTTTCCCTGTTTGAGGGTGGGTAAAAAAATTCCCCGGAAGCATGTGCCCACAAGTGACACACCCCAAACACCTATAACAACCCAAATAGGTAGGTACCTGATCTTGTATATAACAGTGTATGGGGTCCGTCTTGACTAATAAGTCCTTAAGACTCTTATTCCTCCTTTAACACAGGAAATGGTTCAGGTAAATAGATGTCATTCTTTAGGATTCTCCAGTTCTTATCGACAATTTGCTTAAATTGTGAGGACGCTGTGGTGTATGTCTTTGGGAATACCAACCTCCCTGTGGATGAATCTTTTGATGTATCTTGTGTTGAATGGCACTTGTCAAGGGCTTTTTGTAATGTATGGTTGCTGTAGCCACGCTGTTGAAACTTATCCCACATATGTCCTAATTGTTCCTCAGTCTTGCTTTGATCAGAGTTATTCCTCAAAACCCTGGGAAATTGAGAATATGGTAGAGATTTTTTGAGGGAGTTGGGATGGAAACTATAAGCCTGTAGAAGGGTATTACGATCTGTTGGTTTCGAATATAACGTGTAGGCCAACTTGTTGCCTTCCCTCATGACTCGTACATCTAGAAAGTCCACTGTGAGTGGATCCACTGTCATAGTTAATTCCACATTTGGTGTGCACAAATTAATATTTTGAACCATGGCCTCTGCAGCATGGGTGTCACCCTGTCACGTATTCATCCGCTTATAAAAATGTGGTTAATGGCATTTACTGTCCACACATGAAAATTTGTGCCGAGCAGCAACCAAATCCACAAAAGGGTTAATGCTGAGCAGCAATTATGCAAATGGGAACCTGCTAACTGCCTTTGGGGTCAAAGGCTGGTTACAGCCTATCAGATCTAGAGGAGGGGTATTTAGGCCCAGTTCTCATCCTGCTCAGTGCCCTGTCGTGGTTTCCCTTGTGGTTGTCCGAGAGCGCATTATTGATTTTGGTTATTCTGGTTATTTGACTTTGGCATTGTTTTTGACTTGGGCTGCGCTTAGGTAAAACAGATATGTTGAAATATATAAGATCGTGTATTTATAAAATAAACAGCGATAATAAAATCAAATAAAGTTCATCCGGATTTTCTTAAAAATATAGAATAAAAACAGTCTCACTGATATGTAGTACCACGATATTAATCCTCAAGTATGGCTCCGTCCGTGTGGTAGGTAGTCCATATATGTGAAGATAAAAAACAAGAAAGAAAGCTGCCTATGGTGAAATATTGTTGGTCCTGATGTGGTATATAATCAAAGGAAATATATTTCACTCACATTTGGTGGAGCTTATTGCCAGCTCTGGGAGAAGAGGCACTTAGTGGTTTGATCCCCACTAACGGATATACTTAGATGGTCCGTCTGTCCGGCTTGGGATTCCTGTGGTGTCGGCTAGGATCTACTTCACATATACGTTGTTCCTTGATGCTTGGAAGATAGGTCCGCCTTTCCAGTATCGGGTGGTAGGTGTCCACGGAGTATATATGAGACAGCAAATAGTGCTCTCAGTATGAACAACAAAGTAATATCTTTAAGTGAATTATACTTACAAGAATAGAGCAGATGGATACTGCTCTATTGCCACAGCGCTGGTGGAATTATCCCCACCTAAGGATTTCTTTGGACGGAATATACTTCCAAGTAAAAAATTGAATAATAAAAATAATAAAAAATAATAAAAAAGGGTGGATAAAACTATAGTATTAAATACAAAAAATCTATATGAAAAAAAATAATATATAAAATGCCAGGGGTAAAAAGAAAGTGTATAAAATACAATAAAAATAAGTATACAATTGGTCCTAGTTTAAAAGGTAACCAAAAATAACTTTTATTGATTAAAATACACTTATTAAAACCATTTACGCGTTTCACCTTTGGGGTTTTCTCAAAATGGTAAAAGAACAGAGGTTGAATTTGGCGCCAAATTCTTTTATGCACCAATCACAAACAAGTATTAAAACAAAACTTTCTGTACATTTCAAAATGACATTATGACTTTGTGGGTATATTCATATAAGTATTAGAAGGATTAAAAAATTAAATTGTATTAAAAATAAAGCTTTAAACAAGGTTTAGAAAGAGTTTAGAAAGAGTTTCATGACTATTAATCTCGATCTGCTAAAACAACTCAAAATAGTGTAAAAACCATATAGGTGCCTTTGTTGCTGTCTAATTAGGTTAACTGTGTAAAAATTTATTTAAAACGAGGCTTTTGGAGAGATTAAATTATATTTTGTTCCAAAATATAATTTAATCTCTCCAAAAGCCTCGTTTTAAATAAATTTTAGTTAACCTAATTAGACAGCAACAAAGGCACCTATATGGTTTTTACACTACCATCTAAGTATATCCGTTAGTGGGGATCAAACCACTAAGTGCCTCTTCTCCCAGAGCTGGCAATAAACTCCACCAAATGTGAGTGAAATATATTTCCTTTGATTATATACCACATCAGGACCAACAGTATTTTACCATAGGCAGCTTTCTTTCTTGTTTTTTATCTTCACATATATGGACTACCTACCACACGGACGGAGCCATACTTGAGGATTAATATCGTGGTACTACATATCAGTGAGACTGTTTTTATTCTATATTTTTAAGAAAATCCGGATGAACTTTATTTGATTTTATTATCGCTGTTTATTTTATAAATACACGATCTTATATATTTCAACATATCTGTTTTACCTAAGCGCAGCCCTTGACCCCCTCTTTTTTCGCATTTCCTACATAAGGGTTCCGTGAGGGATCTCCCTTTTTGGGTTGCTGCTCAATTGAACTAGCGCAGACTCTTCCTCTGTTTTGTTTCATTGTTTTTGACTTCCCTGTTTTCTGGCATCCCTGACTCCTGGCTTTTCCTTATCGTTGTGTCTCTTTCTGTATCCCTTGATCTTGGCTATTCCTGACTATTCTTTGGTACGTTAGTCCGGCCATTCTAAGGTCCGGTATACGTTACCTCTGTGTTACACAATTCTACGTGCTGGATCATTCTGTAATCCTGACACACCCTTGATAATCATAAAGATATCGTCGATGTAACGACCGTATAATAAAATGATATCCTTAAATGGTTCCAATATGTATTTGTGATCAGTGCCTTCTGGTGGCCAATATGCTTAAGCCTGTTCTGTTATCATTTATCCATGATGCCCTCTAGTGGTGGCACTGAGGAGCATTGTTTTTTTCTTATGCTTATGGAACACATAACAGGAGTTCAACGCTGTATGCATGCAGACATCCAGGTACTGAGATGTAATTAATTATAAGTGTTTGGTAATGTGTATCTTTCCACCTTAGTACCTATTCTTCAAGGCCTAGCGTTCCATAGGTCCTGATTTATGATATCAGGGTAATGTTAGGAGGACCTTAATGGGTTTTATAATATGCCGAAAAATGATTATAATTTACATTTAGCATTGAACGGTAGAAGGTATATATGTTACTTTGTATATAGGTATCCATGGTGATGACCCCTGGCCGCGTCATTGAGCGTGACGCCACGTGGCTGCAGACATTCGTCGGGTAGCCCGCAGCAGTCCCAGTCTGGGCGTCCATGGAGTCAGATGTATCACAGGTGGGGTGAGTAAATATGATTTTTATGCTTTATATGTGGGGTTGTTTGCATGCACAATATGTCCTGATGAAAGCTTGAGGGGATCAAGCTGAAACGTTGACTTTGTGATTTTTATTGAAGGTAAATAAAAGTAAAATTTTAGATAAGGCCTTGGAGTGCTATCTTTTGCAACTTTTGTATTTTTGGCTGACAAGCACCGGTCAATTCACACATTTGTTATTGATGGAGTGCAAGATTTTTTAATTTTTTAAATTTATATATATATATATATATATATATATAAATATATATATATATATATATATGTGTGTGTGTGTGTGTGTGTGTGTGTGTAATTTTGTTCTAACTGTATTTTGATATTAATATATATATATATATATATATATATATATATAGATAGATAGATATCAAAATACACATACACCCTGTTCCAAATTATTATGAAAATTCTATTTAAGTGTCACAAAGATTAAATATTTTGTTTTTCAGTTTAACTCATGGATGGCATTGTGTTTCAGGGCTCTTTTGATCACTGAAATCAATCTCGGACACCTGTGATAATTAGATTGCCAGGTGAGCCCAATTTAAGGAAAAACTACTAAAGGAGGGTGTTCCACATTATTAAGCAGAGCACCATTTTCATGCAATATGGGGAAGTAAAAGGATCTCTCTGCTGCCGAAAAGAGTGAAATAGTTCAATGCCTTGGACAAGGTATAAAAACATTAGCTATTTCACGAAAACTTAAGCGTGATCATCGCACTATTAAGAGATTTGTGGCTGATCCAGAGCACAGGCGGGTTTGTGCAGATAAATGCACATTGAGGAAGATTTCTGCCAGATCCATGCATTGGATGAAGAGAGCAGCTGCTAAAATACCATTACATAGCAGCAAACAGATATTTGAAGCTGCTGGTGCCTCTGGAGTCCCACGGACATCAAGGTGTAGAGTCCTCCAGAGTCTTGCAACTGTGCATAAACCTTCTATTCAACCACCACTAACCAATGCTCACAAGCAGAAACGGCTGCATTAGGCAGAAAAATACATGAAGACTAATTTTCAAACAGTTCTGTTCACTGATGAGTGCAGATGGGGCCATTGGGGGTATATCAGAGGCTGAACTCCGGACACTGCTTGTTGGCTGATGTTTGTTTATTAATTTTTTTAAACAGGGGCAGGGGTTTAGTAGACATGGGGACTGCGATTTAGTAGATGAGGGGGGACTAAGATTTAGTAGACGGGGTGAGACTGGGATTTAGTAAACAAAGGTGGACTGGGGTTTAGTAAACAAGGGGGGACCGGGATTTAGTAGACAAGGGCGGACTGGGATTTAGTAGATGGGGTGAGACTGGGATTTCGTAAACGAAGGTGGACTGGGATTTAGTAAACAAGGGGGGACCGGGATTTAGTAGACAAGGGCGGACTGGGATTTAGTAAATGAGGGGGGACTGGGATTTAGTAGATGGGGGGGGTGCTGTTTAGTAGACAAGGGGGGCTGGGGTTTAGTAGACATGGGACAGGGGGTTTAGTAGAGGGGGTCACTGGGGTTTTTTTTTATACTGTACTTTTCAAAATAAACTTACGTTTCTATGAAAATGTTAGTTTTTTTTTTTTTTTGTGGCACACATAAACTTAAACCTTAGAGTTTGACATGCTTGCTCTATATGGAGGTTTGAAAAATGGGAATTCATTTAACTCAATAAATCAAAATGTGTGTGAATTTCAGTTCATCACAGGAGAGTACAGAGTACAGAACAATGCAACTACTGATCTACACACCAAAATTGCTCTGTGAAGCTAAAGTTGTTTTGTTACTTAGTGTATGCCTTTAAAGGTTTTGGTTACTTTCTTCACATGTTTTAAAACAGGAAAATGCAAAGGAGATTTAATGAAATAACTTAAACATATAGCATGAATTTTGGACAAGCTTTCATAATGAGGTTTTATTTTTTTTTAATGAAGTGCATATTTAAGAAATTGAAAGGGTTGGGTCTAATTTATTAAGTAGGTAGAAATCTACAAGCCATTGTTGTTTTCAAATCCTTATCACTTCTCTGTAAAATAGACAAGCACATCTT